GCAGCGCAAAATTGAATAGAGTGAGGTTTGAATCCTCACAGAAGTCGATCCACAATCTTATTCTGCTCAGTTGAGACAGAAAAAATTTAATAGAGTGAGGTTTGAATCCTCACAGAGGTCAATCCACTATCTTTTTCAGCTCAGCTCAGGCAGAGCAAAGTTGAATAGAGTGAGGTTTGAATCCTCACAGGAGTCGATCAACTATCATTTTCTGCTCAGCTCGGTTAGAGCAAAATTGAACAGAAAGAGGTTTGAATCCTCACAGGAGTCGCTTTGAAACCTTTTTCTGCTCAGTTCAAATAGACTATTGATAGCAAAACTGAACGGAGTGAGGTTTGAATCCCCACGGAGTTGATCTATTATCTTTGCTTATGAGTTCCTAGAGCATTGGATAATAAAGTGGAGTAGAGTGTGGTTTGAATCCCCACAAAAGTCGATCCACTTTCTTTTTCTGCTCAACTCAGGCAGAGAAAAATTGAATTGAGTGAGGTTTCAATCCTCACGAGAGTCGATCCGCCATCTTTTTCTGCTCAGTTGTCAGAGCATTGGATGGCAGAATGTGTTAGAGTGAGGTTTGAATCCTCACTAGACTCGAATCAATATCTTTTCCTGCTAAGTTGTAAGAGCATTTGTCAACATACTTCAAAGGAATGAGGTTTGAATCCTCACGATTGTCGACCCACTTTCTTTTTCTACTCAATTGGTTGAGCAGGTTAAATGCGATGAAGTGAGATTTGAATCCTTGCAAAGGTGAACCCAGTTTTTTTCTTTTGCTTACCAACTCCAGAAATGTGAATTTTTCTTAATGTATCTTTGTATTTTAAGATGGCAAAGATAATTAGTATTTGTAGACCTTGGATGATTTTTTGAATCATTTTTATCCGCGCTCAGCTCCATAAGTTTCAGTCGCCTCTACTTTTTGTTTTGGAAGTTCCAAGTATTATAAACCGGATATAATTTTTTTGGACTTTGACTTTGAATGCCAAGAGTGCCGGAGAACAGAGAAAATACAATCCCTGCTTGAGTACAGATACAGTCCTCTGGTGGTTACGGACGACAACCGAAGTGAATCTAGCACCCTCCGGGTTTAATACCTGTATCGACTATTCTCGTTTTGATAAAAAAAAAGCAAAGCAAAAGCAAAAGCAAAAGAAAAAGCAAAAGCAAAAGCAAAAGCAAAAGCAAAAGCAAAAGCAAAAGCAAAAGCAAAAGCAAAAGCAAAAGCAAAAGCAAAACAAAAACAAAAGAAAAAGCAAAGCAAAAGCAAAAAAACAAAAACAAAAAGCAAAAATAATACGAGCGTACGTCGAGGTACCAAAGGGTGAGACCGAAGTATGGGCCATCGACTGCACCTTTCCTCGGGACGCAAAAGTAAACAAGCACCGAATGGAACGCACGAAACTTTCCACTCAGCTGGGATCGTTCTCTTTGGGCTGACTGCTTGAGGTTTGAATCCTCACAGGGTAAGCTGATTGTGCTTAACTAACTATTTCTTGTTTCTGTTGTTTTTATTTCATTTATTTCGAGTAAATATTTTTAAGTTTTTCGAAAATAATATAATAACAGTAGTGTTTAGTTATTCTTAAATTCATATTCGTTACCCTAACATACGAGATATGGCACCAAGTGCACTCGGGATTCAACTTGTCCGCTGAGGGTAAACTTTACTTTACAAAATACATTCCTTCCGCTGGAAAAGAAGAGAAATTGATATAAATGCCTTGCGCTGTTAGACTTTTTCACAGAATGAAAAACTCTGCAATGAACACCTGCATTCATGTACAAGGGGATTTAGAACCTTCAAGGTGAACTGGGAATGAGATGAAAAAAGTACCAAACAAAAAGTGAAAAACCTGTTCATCCTACCAAAATTAGGCAGGCAGTTACTAAAAAAACATTGAAATTAAAAGACAGTGGCCTTTTTCCCCTCTGGCGATCCCTTTTCTATGAGAGGTGGTGTCAAACACTTTACGCATCGTACAATACATCATTTATACAAACACCATAGTCTAGTTTTGTCTGGTGTCAACTTGTCAGTAATCTATAATTAATATTATTTCCAGAAAAAAGTTAAGAATCTCTTATGAATAGCGACAGTCTGGTTACTCATCAAGGTACCCGATGTATAAGAAACACATCAGCCTATATCCAAAAATCATGGTTAGGTTCTTTCATGCGGGTGTTGATGGTATTCGGCGCGCTAAAAACATTCCAAATTAGAAGGATTCTCATGACAAACGGTGAAGACGTAATTTCCAGCAATTGAAAAGGAAGAGGAAATATCTTAAGAGCAAAACTGCATTGCCATTTTTGTAGCACATCAAGTTTCAGTCTAACGGCTGCTTTGATTCGTAAAGTACGGTCAAGATTTATGAGACTGACTAAATATGTTTAATTAATTTGTTTTTTGTTTTTTTATTGTTATATTTTGTTTTGCTTATTTTTTTTGGTACAATGTTTTCCTAAAAATGTTTGGAATTTTTGTTTTTCTTTAGAAATGTTGACTGCCGGGGTGCGGTTACAGCTCCAAAAGTTCAGCTTCATGTGATGTCTTGGCTACAGTCGTATATTTCATAACTTAAGAGGCGAGTTTCTGGCAGATTTGCAGAAAAATTTCAAAACGATAGGCGACCATTTCGAATTTTAAAACACGACCAATAAATAGATCTTTAACATATGATCTATTATGGCAGAGATAAAACTTACTCGACTTACTTCTCCGTCTAAAAATAGAAAAAGGCAAACTTACTTTTGAGTCTCTAATTGTGTACCTAAGGAGCATCCAGGCTTTCCATTTAGTCTCAATCTCAGTGTCTCAAGCTTTCCAAAACCTCCACCAGTCCACGATGCAACTAAATTGGCACAGCTGTTCCAAGAAGAAATCATCTAGCCTCTCGTTGATCCTCCACCAATGGTCAGGAACGCAAACTTCAGTCGCTTTCTTTCCATAGGAGGAGTGTGCGCCTCGGTATTGATGCACAAATAAGATGGCTGTATCCTAAACAGAACTGGCCTTATCCCACTTGTGAAAGCCTTCAACAAAATCAAAAGAAAGTTAAAATCGTTTAAATTAGGTAGCGATGATTTTAAGTCAACCCAAATTGTTGCCACGGATTTTTATGAAATGTTATCAGAGGATTTGTTGACATCAGTAGAGGCACAATGTTTGGTCATTCATGTCACTCACCATCTTTGAAATTTTATTCAAAATTAGATGTAGGTAACGTAATAATTGTAATATTATCGAGATCTATGAAATGTTTTTTAATGAGCATTAGCTGGTGAAAGTTGGACCACGTAAAGCCAGCGAGGGAACTTTCTTCCTGTCCATGTTTTATCTTTACTATTCCTACGATGATATTTTATCATGCTGCCACTTTTCAATAATCAATAGTTGCTTTTACCTTGTTGTAACTTTGAAGTGTAGATATTTTGCAGAAAAGCCTAGTCTTATTCCTCTTGTGTCACTTATTCAAGCAGGTAATTTACACCACTCGTATTTCAAGGTAGTTTGACGTTGTGAAATGCTGATATCTGAGTGATGATATGGTAGAATATAAATTCGTGGGAATTCTACCAGAAAAGTCTCAACAAAAATCATCTTGTGCATGAAAAAGTGCTCGATGTTGCTTCACTTTCTCGCGTCTGCAATGGTACAAATAGCTACCAGGCTTGAAGTTAGCATAAAGGACATCTAGTAGATACCGTTGAAAATTCAAAAATGCTTAGTTCGGCTGAGCTGCGCATGACAGTGGACAATGTTGTCGGAACTTCGTGAAGTTGACCGCAATCAAAGGTGCAAAATATTCACGTACACCGGTACACCCTTAATTTTGAATCTCTCCTCGTTCATGCGATTTTCTGCTTCGCATTTGTATACGAGATGAAAATTTTATGTTTTGGCCAAGACAATACATCTTTCAGTAAGGAGAGCTAAACTGGAATTTGGCTTCGTTGAATGCACTGCAAAAGAGCCATTCCCTACGGGATAGCACTGAGAATTCAGCGTGATTGTTTCACTAGCGAATTGTCAAATAAAGTAAGTGAAGAAGATTAGAATGTCACAAATTCTAAAATTATGATGCAGATGTGGTATATTCACAATTCAAGAAAGCTTTTAACAAAAAGATATCCGAACTCTCACTGAAAAGGAAATCAGGCCTGAAAAGAGTTCTTTCTGTTAACGCTAAGAGCAGAAATTTCGTCGGAAACGTCAATTAGAAAAAGTGTCTCTACTTTCTTTATTACAATTGACGGTTTGCTAAATCGCTTATACGCTACGATAGAGAAACCATGTTTCCATCTTCACCCAGTAGAAACGATCTTTCTCAAGATTCATTTCATTGTTGCAAGGCTAGCCAATATAAGCTCGCATACTAAGATTATCTCGTTGTCATTTCCTTTTATGGTGTAGGAAACTCCTTGATTTTAACTGCAATGCTATAAAAAACAAACTAACTAACTAACGAAACAAGCAAACAAAAACAGTGAAAAACACCACTCTATTTCTCTTACTTGGACAGACTTTTCACACTATGTTGAACTGATTTCTCAATGGGACACAAATTTCACTCTCATTAAGTAACAAAAAACGAAATTAAAAGATGAAGCAATTGAACCTGTAACGAGCAAAGATGGCACTCAAGCTAATAATTTGTTCTGGAATCTCCTTCCTCCCCCCTCCCCCCATTGGCTGTTTTTGAGCTCTGCAATTGTGGTACTAGGGCAAAATACAGTCTTGGACTTTTCCAGATCGTGCTCGAACTGCCAGGTAAGACTTGAACCAGATTGACTTATCTAGAAATCCGCTATTACTTTCTTTTTCGTTAGCATTGCCTCTTGGACTCCTTGGCTGGAAAAGAAGTAATAAAAACTAACTATTCGAAGCGGAATACTAATTCACAGTTCTCCGCGTACCTTCTTGTACGAAGAGCGGACCTATATGTGGCTCAGAAATTGAGAGAGACTGAGACAAAGTGCAACCGAGAGAAATTGGGTGCTAAATATGGCGGACGTTTGTGTAGGTTCATAGTTAATTTTAGTGATTTTTGGTAAAATTTCAAGATGCCGTCGTTTGGCCAGATTGTCATTGGGCCTCCGGGCTCTGGAAAAAGTACATTTTGTGCTGGGATGAGTGAATTTTTAACAAACTTGGGTCGAAAAGTGGCTGTTGTAAATCTTGATCCTGCAAACGATTCGCTGAGTTACAAATGTGCCGTAGACATTTCCACGCTTATCACTCTTGATGATGTGATGGAGAATCTTAAGCTTGGTCCAAATGGTGGGCTTATATACTGCATCGAGTATCTCGAAAAGAATCTTGACTGGCTGGAGAGAAAGCTGAAAGATCTGAAAGGGCATTACTTCTTGTTTGACTGCCCTGGTCAAGTTGAACTGTACACTCATCACACATCTGTGAGGAATGTGGTCAGGCAGCTTGAAAAGTGGGACTTCAGAGTAAGTGAATGATAAGGCCTGTTCCGAATGCTGTTCTACTCAAACGTTAAACCAGAAGCCTAGTAAGGCTGAAGAGCTTAATTTAAATCTGTTTGATTTGGCAAACAGTTAGTTGTTCAGGGGTATCATGCAAACTAAGAGTAAAGACTTCGAAAACTAAGACTTTGAAAACTTGGAAAATTGATGAACTGGAAGGTATTCGAGGTCAGCACTCCTTGTTGGGATTAGTTCGTTTTAAGTGTCAAAGAGAACCAAAGACAGTTTATCAATAAGTTTCGAAGGTGTTGGTTTTTTAGGTCTTAGTTTTCCAGGTCTTAGTCTTAGATCCTAGTTTTTGAGACACCCAGATGTTTGGCAAAGTCCTTCATATTGTGCAAAAATGTCAGCAGCCACTCATTCACTCAGTGTTTTGTTGTATGCTGGACCTAATGCATTGAGTTGGCTGATTTTTAATCTTACCAGATATCTTCAAATTTTGCCGTTATTCAAGAACATGTGCCCCAAAGTCAAAGCCCTCCACCCCACCCCCTGTCTGTGCAGTGTATGGCAGATGTATTACATGTTTTACACCTCAAAATCGCCTTTGCATGCTTGAGATCTTGTCATGTTTGGCCTATTTTCTGGGCTCTTTTTATTTTCAATTTAGATAATTATTCAGTTTGGTGCAGTTTTGTGTTCCTTCTTGTTTGGGTAACTGGTTCTCTCTAGAACTTACATGAATAGAAAGCTAATCATTTTTAAGTGATTTGTATTGAATACATCATGTTTATCCTTTCACAGCTTGCTGCAGTCCATCTTGTTGATTCACATCATTGCAGTGATCCAACAAAGTTTATTTCTGTTCTTCTCACATCCTTGTCAACCATGATTCATGTTGAGCTCCCTCATGTTAATGTCCTTTCCAAGATTGATCTGGTAGAACAATATGGAAAGTTAGGTGATTGACTATTTATAATACATATAATGATATACACGAAAAAATTGCACATGTTTGATTTGCTTAAAATGAGTGCATTTTCACTTAACTCAAGTGTCATTCTTTTTACATGTAAATTATTATCAAGTAACAGCATGATTTCTCCTGCAGTTTGGTGTAAATATGCTCTTATTCATTTTTAAAGACTAGTGTTGTCTTAGAAAAATTTGCTTGTACTAATTAACATTATGTTGCACTTAAAATCATGTTATTACCTATATTAATGTTGGTCATTCTGTGACCTTTTGTTAGGCAAGACACAGTACTCTCACTACATGCATCTCTCTGTTCAAGAGTATAAATGTAAATGAATGCCAACCTGTCTGGGTAATGTGGTCAAGTGGTGGGTGAGAGACAGCAGATGGGAAGCCTGTGATTAATATTCAAACCAGGAGAATTAAAAATACTTAAGGGATAAGCACTGGCAATTTAAGGCCACTTGGCCAGTAAAATGTGTGATTATTGAAGAAAAAACATCTAAAATGGGATTTGTGACAGGGTTCCTAGTAAAATTGCTCTCAGTTTAGGGAGTTTAGAGCTGAAGACACTCAGATTGATCTGGCATTTATTTTCTGTTGTAATTCAAAGTTAAGTGTAAGATGACCACCAGAACAATGGACCAACATATCGTATTTGTAGATTAGATGTTAGATTCAAATGATTTTGTTTCTGCTTGAACTAATGATTTAAGGAAGATGCCATTGGAAATGTAAATATGTTTTCTCTGAGGCAGTAGTGTGTTGGCAATGCTTGAGTCTTTTTTTCTGGAATTTTATTGCTGACTTCAATTATTTTGATTTCTTGTTAGCATTCAATTTAGACTTTTACACGGATGTTTTGGATCTGAATTTTCTCCTGGATCACATCAAAGATGATCCATTTACTCGAAAGTACAAAAAGCTGAATGAAGCATTAGTGGGTTTAGTTGAGGACTATGGCCTGGTGTCTTTTAAAACACTGGATATACAGGTGATTGCTGAAATATTAGTGGAAATAGGCCTGTTTTGTACTTGAAGTTTTGTTTTTTGTTGCTGCTTTTGTCAGGATCTCTTTGTTCAAAGTATAAAGCTTGTAGAGCAAGCAGAATAAAGCAACCTCACTTGAAGTGGCAAGGGGGAAACATGTCAAGCTTGCTTTTTTATGCACCTGATAGTTAGGAAAAAGTGGTGTGAGTTTTCTTGACCAATCACAGAGCACTGCAAACCGAAAATGCTACAATCTCAGATCATTTTCATTTTGTTTTAGTCAAAGGAGAGTATGTATCAGGTGACCAAATCTATTGACCAGGCTAATGGTTTTGCTTTTGGTGAACTTGAGGATGACAGAGGGAATTTCAGTAACCTAATGTCTTCAGCTGTAGGAACAGATTTTGAATTTTTTAGGTAAGTTTATTTACCGAAGCACTGTCAAGTGTCATAGGTATAATTTGTTTCTCTCCCTATCCATTCCTTCATTCATTTATTTGCATTATTAGGTTTGAGACGGGAAGGAAAAATAGTGAACTTAAGAATGCTAAAAATGTCTTTGACTTTGCTTTTGTAAGGACAAAGTCAAGATCATCTTCATGTCCCAAGCTTTTAAAATTAGAGTTTTAATACATTTGGTCCTATTATCTGAACAAATGTTGTTTTTTTTTTTTTTGGATAGGTCATGTTAAAACTTTAAAGCTTCTTTAGTAAAAATTTCCTTTACAGAAAAGTAATAATTTTTTCAAAATTTTCAATGATATCAGTCGCATTTATTTGGAATACCATAGTGAAAGATTGACTTAATGCCCAATAAGGAATATCCAGGGGGTATACTCTAGGACATTGCACACAGGGAAGCAGCACACTCCAGGGGTTATAGGTGTCAACAGCCCAGTTCCCCATCTGCCTTAACAGACTCATCACCAACCAAATAAAATAACTTTTTGATGGTTTTCAATTTTTTAGGACGGCAGCAATTCAAGAGAAGTATATGAAAGATGAGGATGAAAACTCCTAGAAAAATAATGGCTCAGTAGTGTTCATTAAGGACAAGAAAATATCCTGCTTTGGAGAGAAGGCATTATATGGTGAAAAGAAGAGATGAGGGCGAGACATGGACTCGCTTTAATGTCTATTTACTATTAGATCTAACTTCAAGGAAGAGGTGACATTGATAGCCCTCGAGTCCCTAAGAGTTAGTTAATATTTCCCTAAAATATCATCCCTGAATCAAACATTAAGGTCGGAAGAATAAAGGAAATGATCACCACCTAAAGAAGCTCTTGATTGTTAAACAAATTCTCCTTGTCAGCTCCTTAGGAAATGTATACAGAACAGTAGGGAGAATATGCATACTGATGCCAAGCATACTAAGGGCTAGGTGCTAGTAATTACTTGACTGCTCGCTATTTTATGTGGTCCTTTAGTGCTGTGGAGTTCATCACAGACTCCTAGCTTCGAAATATTTATATGTAAATAGTGTGGGCAGCCCAGGCTCCGTATAACGTATTAGCACTGAAAAAACTCCAGCTAAACATCACAAAGGTGGAAAAATTCGTCTTCGAAACCGATAATTTTTCATTCACTTTCCTTGCATTTAGAGTTAGACCAGGGGTTAGCCAACTCATGTGACGAGAATAACTGTCTAATGCAGTACGTGGCTGATTCTTTGGATCCGTGCGTTTTAGCATACTTGAATTATAAGATTTGTTTGTTAAGGATTTAAAAATTGTAGCACCCAGAATCTCCTTCCTCTTGCTTAACGCCAAGGAGTATAAACCATCAACTAGTTTCCCAATGAAAGCGCTACAAGATGCATAGGTGTTGACTGTATTTTATTTATTTGTTAAATGCGATCGTTTTGATCTTGATACAGATTTATGAGAAACGTAATTAAAACCTCACCCAAAGTACGAAATTATTTTCATGACAAAGATTACTTGTCTGCTTTCCTAACTAACTGATTAAGATATCCAACACACGAACAAGAAACGCTTTTACTGTTAAAATGAGAGGAAGGTAAATGATACGCGTCGTCGCAAAAAGTACTCAAGTGGAAAAAGGGGGTAAAAATTTTCAAATTTTCATTTACACGTGACGTAGATGAATATATGTTTTATTTCAGTGGCTAAATTGTTTCGTTTCCCTTCGTCAGTAAGTCAGTAAAGTCAGTTCACCCGTCCGTCAGGTCAAGAGCCAGGTGGCGTAAACTCCTTGGGTCACGTTTGGCCCTTTTACTTTGGCAGCTGCTTCTTCAGTGATAACCAGATCAGCAAGGTTTTTTTCAGATCTTCAAGGACTTTATCACCTACCAACTTGAACGCATATTCATCCTGCTTATGGGCCATCAATGCCTTGATCTGTTTAACAAGATCTAAGAGAGTAACAAGTGAAGAACGGAGTTACTCTTATTGATTCATTTTATCACCATGGCGCCAGTTCTAAGTGGCATGCGGAGGTCATAAATACCACGTTGTTTCGGTTAATTAAAAGGAACATTTGTTTAAGTGAAAAAGACTGATACAAACCCATTTTTTGCTTGGCACCCAACATCAGGAGCTTGTGAACCTTTCCGGTTAGCTGTATTGCCTATGAAATTATAGGATGATTTAAACAGGTGTTAGCTTTGTTTTCTTTCTTTCTCCTTAATTTGGAGAGCAAAGTATTGCTCTCAGAATGTTGAAATACGTATCTCTTATTAACAACTTAATGCATTATCAAGAAATCTTCACTGAAGGGATATACAAGTAATTCAATGACATTTAAATAAGGAATCCTCCAGATGCTTACCGATTTGATAATTTTCAGTTGAAGCAGGACACTGGGCACTAAACATACAAAGAGAAATACCAAGTTAACGGAAAAAGGAAAAAATGGGTGAAAATATTTACAGACAGAAAGGATAAAGGAGAGAAATATGGAAATGTTTGGGCGGAAAGGGAAAAGGGAAAAAAAAAAGGGAAAAGGAAGAATAATATTAAGACTTTTATAATTATTTTTGTTGTTGTTGCTTGTTTGTTTTTGTTTCGCTTTTACTGTGTACATGCCTCCAATTCCATTTAGTTCAATGGTGACTTTCAATTTTTTTTTCATGAATAAAGATCAGTGTTCTGAGTTATTCATTTTCTCTTTAAAGTTGTAAGCTTTCTGGTAGTTGTCATTGCTATACGAACTTTGAAAGTAAAAAAAGATTTCTATACACTTACCATCTCTGCACTGTTCCACCTTGCTTGTTTTAAGAACGATTGACAAGAATTTTTTCTTAAGGGAGTTTGGAGGCTTCTCAATGTTTTCAAGCAAGCCTGTGAACATGTAAGAAAACGCTAGTTACATAAGACGTAGTCTCGCAGGTATTTTTCAGAAAAAAAAATTGCTAGCTGTTATCCTGTTAACGAATTTTGTTGCTCAAATTAACAGATAACTTGTTACTAACAACAACAACGTAGGCGTATAGAAAGTTTTTTTTTCTTAGTGTGGCACAGAGGGCTATTTACACCATCTGGATTCCATTAGTGTTCAGGAACATGGATGCGCTCATTACTATATGCGTCCGAGTTTCTTCGACCTACAGTTTCTATTCTTAATACATCAATTTATTGATCGGGATATATAAATTTATAGGCTAGAGGGTGCTGTAATGATCACTCATAGGACCCCATTTATATTTTAGCTTAAAACAGGTATGGTAACTTAGAAAAAGTAGACTTTGGAAGTTTTATGGAAAAAGGTTGAAAGAAAGCCCTGGATTAAACCTAGTGCAGGACTAAGATAGAGATACAGAATTATGATTGACAAAAGTTGTGTACCTTTGCGCTCTTTGCACGGTATATTTGGTCCATCAGTGAGGCCAAGAAACTCAATTACTTTATCTCCTAATTTAGGGAGAGGGTTCTCGCTCGGCTCTTTTCCATGCACTATCTTTCTGAGTAATTCAATCATACCTGAGAGAATAAACAAAGTAACGAGATAATTAGCTAATCAACTCATTTTCCGACACTCAAATCCATCCTTCGTGCCAACAAAAGGGTTCGGGAAGATAATATTGAATCAAACTCATCCTTTCTAAAGCTTAATTTTTTATTTTTTAACGCACTTTCGAAAACATCACTGTGACTTGAAACTAAAAGGTTCTCTAAAGTGATGTCACAGACGCTGGTTTTTAACGCAAAGTTCTCATTGATGCGTTTTAGTAAACTATTAAAGTAAGACAATATCTTTGTTTGAAATTTGTTGTTCCCTCAAGTAGTCTAGAGCAACATTGACTGGAAATCGCCCGTCTCTGTTGCAATGCAATTTGGGAGTGAATAGCACATCGCAAGCTGTTGCTTCTTTTTTTTTGATGTGTTTGTATTTGATCCTCAAAATATGATGCAATTAATTAAGACCTGTAAAGAACCAGTCCAAACAGAATGAGACATTCTAACATACCTTTAGTAGGATTACCACAAATGGATTTTTGGAAGAGTTTGCTCAGCACTATGAAGCCCTTTAGGCTGGGTTTTTCTTTCCTTTCTTGTTCCTCCTCTGCTCCACCCAAGGCCTCTATCAAAATCAAACCCCAACAAAAATTGTAGTTAAGTGCTATTGTTGACAAAGGATCCTATCACGAAATAATGTGTTGGGAACGCAATAACACTTTCTGAAAAACCCTTAAAATCCCTTTTTGTTGGGTGTCTAGCCTTAAATCGTCTCTCTTTTGATAACGATCTGATGCTTATCTTTCTCTTTCTTCTTTTTTCGGACAAGATCGAATATATTCTGAACTTGTATTAGCTGAAAATTAAGTGTTGGCATTGGACATATGAGTTTACCACCTTAACTCTAACTTCCTTAAGTGATCAAGACAGAATTTCTCCTCATCTTACCAATACAGTGTCAAGCAGACAAGTAATGAGAATTAAGAGGCATGTCAATTAGGGGATTATAAATTCTCAGAACTAATATCATAAGAATTGTTTGGCAGACAATGAGGAGAATTACTTACTAGATCCTAGGAGTGAAAAGGTTAAGGCTATTTGCCTAAGTACACAAAACTGTCTGACATATCAATTCTTGCTCGTAACTTTCTAACAGCTGTATTAAAACTTGATGAACCAGTATCAGTGAAAAAGATTCTCTATTTTGTTACGTTTCATGAACGGGTTGAAAGTACTCAATTCATAAATATCTACACTAAGCTTCGTTACCGGTTTTCGTGCAAGGCTTGATGTAAACGTAAATTCTCACCGAAAGCATCACTTTCATTTTCTTCCTGCAAAAGTTCATCCGACATTTCAGCTTCATCGAGGTCATCTTCGTCACCTTTAGCCTTTCGTAATTTTTCAAACAACCCTGATGGATAGAAAAAACATTGACTTGCTTAGACATGGAATTTTCTCTCGATTTGCTATTTAATGCGATCGGTCAACTGGTAATTCAGTCATACGGTTAGTCAGACTTCGGGTTAAGCGATCAGTCACTCAAATCATACATCAATTTGTTGGTCACTCGGTTATTCGGCCAGTCGACCAATCAGCGAGTCAGTCAGTCAGTCAGTCAGTCCATAAGTCATGTCTATGAGTCAGATGTCGGTCAGTCTGCTAGCCAATCAGTCCATGATTCAATCGATCTATCGGTCAGTCAGTCTACAGTTCGTCATTCCATCATTCCACCCTTACAAAAGAGCTGACCAGCCAAACCAGCCAGCCACGCTAGTCAAACCACACGTTTCTGTCAGAGTTAACAAAAAAAATCAACGAATGACTTGATTAATTCTTTATTTTCTAGAATCAGTCTTAACGAAGGATAACAAACCTGTCTTATTTGCGTGTGACAAAAACTGTTCCTGAATCTCATGACACTTTCCGTGCAGTTCCGTAACAGATCTGCCAAGAACGACCTTGAACTTTTTAGCTTCGGCTTCCTCGTTGAGCAGCTCAAATAATCCATGGGCGTATTCTTACAAAAATATAACAAAGAGAAATCAAACATTCTAAATTAGAGAGTAATATGCCTTTTTGATCGCTAAATGCAAACATCAATATAAACTATAAGCTAAGCCGGCGGTTTGTCATTTCCATCCGTCCAACTTTCTCAATCCTGTGTTTTTCTTCTCTGTGCATTTCGGTTTTATTATTATTATTATTAACCCAGCAATTTACACCACTTCCTTCTAACTGCAGGGAGTTTTGCGTACTCAAGTAAATGCGTTTTGTGGGCCCCTACGTAGTAATTGCAGTAACTGTCAGCAAATACCACAAGTCACACAAAGTGCGCATTTCGATTGAGTGTTGTAGAACTAAAACTAACTAATCAAAACTGCCATTCAGAACATACTGTTGGCAAATGTCACAAGGAATTGATTGGGACTCAAAGTAAAATGAACAAAGTAATTCACGCTTTAACCCTTTGAGTACACCCTAATGTAGGAATGCATTTTCGTTACACTGTTTTCTACACATTTCTTAGGTGCTAACCGAGAGAATTGGTTTAACAAGCGAGAGTCTCCTTGACAGGTGATCATTTCCATTATTCTGGTGACCTTAACGTGTGATTCAGAGGTGATATTGTAAGGAGAAATTAGATGCTGGTGACTTTAAGGGGTCAAAGGGTCAAGCAGGCAAAGAGTATTGCCGGCAGCCAACCATATCTTTTGATATGAATTTATCTGAGACAGCCCCGGACACTGTTTTCTCTTATGGTATAGGGGCGTGAGACCGGGTCCGAGCGAGCGGAAACGTACATGCCTACTCACTCTCGCTCTGCTCTTCTTTAAATTTTTCGGATTTTTTCAGTGCGGGAATGACCAGATGAAGCTGAAATTAAAAAGGTAAAAAAGTAAGTAAGTGATGAAAAATCATTTGATACTTAACGATGAAGCATTTTGCTATTGAAAAGTATTTTGTAGTCAGACAAAGCTTTGATCTTTGCGAATGTAAGTGGTCACTTTGTAACATAATCAACTGCTTTATGAATCACAAATTAAAACTGGTCTTAGAAAATGGAACTTACAGAATGAGTTTAAGTCCCCTGGGGTATTGAATATTGTTTAATTTGTTGAATATTCCGTGGCTCACCTAAATAAAATTAATTATTAGCGTTCCTTGTTTTCCAGAGGAACAATGTGACTTAAAAGCTGGCTACACGAAGTCAGCGAGTATTTCTCACAGCATGATTAATTCTTTGCAACTTAATCTTACCGATTCCACTATATCCTCCAATGCTTTCAAATCTTTCTTTTTTTCTGGATCAGGTTTGTCGTGATTTTCCTCCCTTTTTCCTTCAGCGAGGACTGTTGCTAGTTTGGTTGTTAGCTTGTTGTTGGAATCCTCAACTATTAGATGGAAACATAGAGTATTTAAGTTAACAAACCTTTAGCCAAGTTCAACAAGTGCCAAGAGTGACGATTTTTCATAACGCGCGAGAAACGCGCGTTCGGTTCCAAACGCGTGCGCGTAATACATGCCTCTTGAGTGCTTATTCTGAAAGCTGAACGATAGATCTGAAATCGTCTAAGCATCTGCTAAATTTAACCAATTTTTGAAGGCTTCGCTTGAGTTATCCGCGTACGTCGATTGATCTCCGGCTAATACTAAGATTTTGGGGTTTCATGAAAAAAATTATAAATATTCTTCTTTTTCATTTATAACAGCGAATACAGTTCTATCCAAATAGCAATCTTTCAAATTATATGCTTTCTCTAAAATTTCATAAAGGAATCAATCCTCGTGGTATGTATCTACCTTCATTCCATTTTTGTGTGAATTCTCTCAATTTTATCTCGGTGATGTCTTCAAAAGGCGTAAACGAACTGTGGATTTGCACCACAGCTATGCATAACATTAAAAGAGCAGATAAACTTTTCATTTTTGATTCTGGGGGAGTAGCTCTTTGGTTCCTTCCGAGAGCAGGTCAGGAAGAACTGTAGCTAATGAACCTTTCATAAGTTCATTTATATGTCGGAATGTAAACCATGACGTAATGATTAACATTTTTGATTGGCAGTTCAAAATGATAGTTCAGAAAACGTCTTCGAGGGAGATCAGGCCAACGTTTTCAAAGCTTGTCCAAATGCAGTACAGTCTAATCTTTCCCAACCTCTCCTACATTTACCGCGCTCTGTCGCATGCGAACCGTATTTGCACTCTAATACAAAACACATTTAAAACACCCGAGATCCAACACGAATAATCCTTTGTTTATTTTGTCAGTCACTTTGTAAACCTAATTAATAAAATCAAGATTCATGAAGAGTTCAAAATTTTCTTAAACTGAAAACAGCTCCAACATGGAATGTTCAGGAATGTTTTTCGAGCCTGGTCTCCTTTGGTAAACTTTGAAAGGCGTATTCAATCATATGGAAACAAAAAATTAATAACCGCATACAATCATGCAATCTATGACAAGAGCAAAAGCGAAAAAGAAGAAAAAATAAAAAAATACTTTTTTTTCGCTATTGTTTTTCGTCCTCTCATTATTATCAATCAGCGCTCTTGGCTGGAGAAGCAATTAAGACGGCGAACAGTCATAACTGTTCTCTTTTCTACGTTCTTTTCACATTACTTCATACTCAATGTTGGAGAGGAAGATGCAGAGAAAATAAAACGCTTTTAAAACAGCTCTCACTTAATTGCATTTTTTGCACTTGGAACTAGCCGAAATTAAACAAAATAACTGTGCACTCCATTGTTTGTACAAACCTTTTAAAGTTTTGTTGTAAATTAAATTTATATTAAAGAAAAGATCCCTTTCCTGGACCATCATGACAAAAGCCTTTTCAAAAAATATTTACCCACTTTGGTATTTTTAATTTCAGATAACCAATCGTCTATTAGTTTTCAAAACTAACTGCTCGACTTCAAAATATTCGCTTAATTGAGTGCCTTCCTGTCAGCGTACAGCTGCAAAGGTGTGTGATAATTTTTGTCCTTTTTCCGTCAGTTTGTTCCCGAGGTTTCTGCGAACACTAATTATCCTGGATCTTGCGAAAATGGAATTATCATGACATAATCCCCTTGAGAATTATGTCATGTCTTTATGTCTCTCATAAAAAAATTGCGCTTACGTGCTGGAAAACTTTGCACACTTTCCCAGGCCTATTTTTGGGTGTGAAAGTACCTAAACAAATTGTGTCCGCACCGAAATTAAGAAGTGCTTTTATTCTCACAAGGTTAAACAATTGTTCATTTTGAAAGCATTCAGGCTTTCCAAGGACGATCTTTTTTTTCCTTTTAAAAATCCCTTACATGATAAAATGCGTAAAAAGGAAGGTGGAGCTCGCCTTAACTAACAGCATGAGAAAATGGTGGGAGCATTATTTTCTCTCGTCAACAGGAATCATTTGTGCGTCATTTATTTCGTAGAGTGAACATTTTAGATCTCGGTCAGCCAGTTCGCTTTTTCTCTTCATTCTATTTGTGGATGGCAATTTTCTGTGTCATAGCGATCCATGAATTCAGCCCACGCCTAGGAGTACTTTAGTTAAAACAGAAAGCTTCTAGGAGCTAGGAAAATTTCCCATGTGCAGTACATTTCTTTCTTTATCACTGACTCGGTAATAAACAACCGCTTTACATAATAAAAGTTGCGGTCCTTTTGTAAATTCTGAGCTCTCCTAAATTCTATTCAAGATACACTAAATATTTTCCAGACGTATTTCACTCGTTTCAGATCAACTTGATATGACTCTACGGGCGAGTCTTAAATTTATCTCCGGGTGCGGTTATACCGGGAATATACGATGTCAGTGTGGATAAAAAATCTACAAGGAAAGGTAAGAAAAAATAGCCTTACAAAATCTAGGCCTGATTGGTGTGTTGTCAATTGTATCTTTCGTCTGTTTGGTTTGCTTTTCTACACATTCAGTAATTACAAGTGTTGCCGGGGGGAGGGTTTGTCGGAATGCTTTTGTTCAAATATTTTCGGTGCCTTTTATCTTTTTTTCCCTTTTTCCTCTTTTTCACCCCTGCCTTGAACAATCGATGTGAATGTGTTAATCCAAAGATTCTTTCATACGGTGCAATTACCATAACAATAGCGAGAGGTAGCAGTAGGATTTTTTTTTCGATTTTAGCTTAATTGTCTCATCAAACTATGAAATTTCTGGCACATATGAACTCTTTTGGATCAAAGTAACATTTCATCATAGTTCCTTCAATTAAGGTCTATTTTTAAGATTTGAAATTGCAGAAAACTTTGCCATTGTCCATTCCTGATTTGAGATATTCAGATAGATATTGCCAAAGTTGTTGTCAAACAACAAAGGATTACATTTTTCTTTTCAAGAAGTGATGTAATACTCCTGAGAAGGTAACAACTGAAACAATGATCCGTCATTTCTCGCACGTACCTAAAAAGATCCTTGCTCAATTTTCTCTCGGTGCACTAAAAATTTTACCAAGTAAATTCCACCCCTGATTAAAAGAAAGAACCACTTAAAAATCATCCCTTTCCTAAGAGTATTGCTCGAATATTCGTGGTCTGCAGCACTACCATTCCATCGAATCTAAAGAATGCACTTCATTCCTAAAAAAGCGATTTAATGACTGGCTGATAAATTAACACCTAAAGAAAAGTACTTAATTTAACTTCTGTGACAATAGCTTTAAAAAAAAACTGGTAAAAATGACGTAATCAACTGATGTATAAAAGCTAAGTTTTTGCTCTAGATAGCCATCCTTTTAACTTACCCTGCAGGCAGGAAAGAGTCTGGAGAGATGAAGGTTTTCATTGGGTTTTTGCTGTTCGCCTTTGCAACTGCTGATATCTATAAGTGGGTCGGCCTTCCCGAACAGAATTTTAAACTGCTTGATAACTTGCTGAACGGTGAGCACTCTGCAATTTACCTCGGAGTTAAATTTTGCTGGTGCGAGACCTCAAATCTTCGTTCGCTATTCACTAAAGCATTTATAGGCATAGTTCTCGCTTGCTCGTACTTTCTGCAAACAGCTACATGCTGCAACGCTAAAACTGTTTACTAGTCAGGTCTGAAAATCATATGCTTAGTAGCTATAAATGGCGAGATTTCGCTGGCAAAATCAATTGCTTTTAGCAATAACAAATTCGGCCCATTAGTCTCGGAGGGTTACGCCCCAATTAATTCCACTTTTTTTTTTATTGATTTCGCTCGCTCGAACTTGCAATTTCTGGTTCAACAGCTGCAGCGAAAGATTCCTCAGGAACTTCAACATGTTTTCGATTGAATAATTCGACTGTTGAGTTCGTGACTGGTTAAATCTCCTGAGGGTTTTGTTAAATCTTATTTCACCTCAGAGCTAATCGAAAGTAATCTAGTAAGCCACAAGGAACCCAATACAAGTAATCGACGAAATATCTGCACCAATTTCGAAAGAAATTTTTACTTTCTTAAAATTGAGAACAGTAAAATTCTGATATGCCCGTATATTACAATACGATCCATTTACCGCTCAGGAAAATTCAGGCATGCGCCAAGGTTTATAATTTTTCAAAAGGGATTATCAGAGCTACAAGAATTCTTTAGTACCACGTGACCGTTTATTATTATGAATATAACCTTGATGCTTTTTTGCTCGTTTTTTTTGTGTCGTTTCCTTTGCGTCAAATCACTCCTCTATCGAATTAAGGCTTCGTGGGAGTCGCCGCTTTCTGAAGTTTTACAGAACAATTTTAGTTCTGTTAAAAAATGTTCTTTGTTTCATTTGGCAGATGAAAAATTCGCAAGCAAAGAATCGCTCGAGTCATTAAAGCCTGGCCTTGGAAATCTGCGCATGAGCGACGATGGCGAGGAGAAAGAGGGAAGTGGAGAAGGGTCAGGGGAACCAGAAGGCTCTGGAGCTGGGAAACCACCTCCATTTAAAGAAACCATCGAGGATTTAGTTGAATCGGTGAGATGATAATTGTGTTGAGAACTGCAACCTAAATGACTTCTGACTGGCGAGCTAACAGAGTTGGGAATATGCAGCCGTGAGCTGGCTCGAGTACTACACGAGTCTTCTTCAATGATTGGTTCGGTGGACTGTTTTTAAGTCCTTGTTTGTCCATTATTGAACTGTCGCCTCCCTGGCAATCCATTTGAACTCAGCATTTCAATTCAAAAACCACATATTTCTTTTCTTTGGGTCTAACCGACTAGGAATAGGTTTGGAGTGCGTCTGATACAGAGGGGCAGAGGTGAAGTTAACAGTTGACTGAACCAACCGAAAAAGGATCACTTTTTATTTTTTGTTTCAATTTCTGACCCATATTTTCCTGTACCGTCAAGGAATTTTCCTTTTTCCTTTTTCTCTTGCCCCTGTAAACTTGTCTGTTTCTTGTCAACAATGGTTAAAGGTGTCAAAAGTTTCTGAACCGTTTACTTACATATTTTTCTTTGTAACTGCAGCTTCATACTATCATACCAGCTTTGAAAATACTGAAGGAGGCAAGGGACAAAAAAAATCACGGTAATCTTTATATTCAAACATTCCACGTATCTTCGTGCAGATTTCGACCTTTCTACCAAAATCGACAAAAACTTGTGTATTTTAAGGTTAACTTGTGTCACTTTGTCGAGAAAATACCGTTGCAAGTAATTAGTTAGAACGGAAATAAAAGTTAAAAACAAACAAGCAAACAAACAAACAAACAATAATTTTCGGAAATAACAGCGATATTCTAATTAAGTATATTTTCAAAGTTTTACATAAAAACCTTTCTGCACAAGACGACAAACTAACTGGACAGGCTTTTTATTTTCAAAAGCACAATGAAATAACTTGATCATTTCTCTAACTGGGAATGAATAAAATCTTTCAGAGTATGCACAGGAGCTTGTAAAAGCGATCAAGAATGGGGCAGATGATGAATCCATCAAAAAACTTTTGGGATATCATGTAATGAAACTGCACGAACGCTGTCATCTCCTCAAACTGGCGTTTGCCCGCCATGCAAATCAATCAGGTAAATGTGGTTTCTCATTCCACGTTTTGAGTTGTGTTTGTATATTTTGTGGCTGTTCTCAGTTGAGAATCTAAATGTATTTATCTTGGTTTTTCGTTCTTGTCTGTTGTTGTTGTAGTTGTTTCTGATTCAAGAATTCGATGAACAAAACAAGGACTTTATATCGTTAAATTATGACAACACACCGAGTAAATAATTTCGAACTCGGTTGGGCCCTCAGTTTAAAAGTTTAAACTTGAGTCGTGCATGCTTTATCGTAAAATATACCAGATGGGAATTAAAACGTTTATGTTATTAAAAAAAATTGTCCATTCATAAATTTGTGCCTAGATTTGTGTCAAATTTTCTGTAGGCTTATTGGACCACCTGAGTTCGGATGACCTGGATTTCACCCAGATGATGGGGAAAGTCATTGGAGCAGCTGAAAAATACGGCTTTGGTAAGAAATTCATACAAGTTTATTCTTGTGAAATGCAATGATTTCCTTTCAAGTATTCATCTATTCCACAATAAAAAAACAAAACGAGAAAAATGGTAAAAAAAAAAAGTATAATTGAGGCAAAGTCAATTTTGATAAATGTGATAAAAGTTTAAGATAAAAACTCTATAAAATTGGAGTTAAACCTAAAACTATTAGCAATCAAGAATTTTTTTGGAAACATTTCAATATTTTTGGGTATCGTAGATATGCTCTGTATCGGTATTACAATAAAGCGTTAATGATATTTTAACACTAAAGGTACCTAATGTTGTTCAAATCGTAAATATGAAAAAGGGATAAAGTTCTCTCTCCATAGAGGATTTACAGAAATTGCCCAAAGAAAGAGACTGACAGGACCCAAGACTCAGTTTGTTTTTTTCTTTGTTAAGATGTGTTCCAAGCATTTGTGCACATTGTACACATAAAAGGACTTCACAACCATCCTGGAGCAAGGGCTATCATGGCAGTTGGAGGTTTGGTGGCCGATGTAGCATGTGAAACCAAATTAGATGGTAAGCATAAATTTTTATGCTTTACTGCTTTTAATTTTGGTACTGTATTATCATTTTCTGAAAAATAATGGAGGTTCAAAATAATTAACTTTTTATTCATTTATAACTGTTTTTCGCACAAAGAAAATCACACCTGTCACAAGAATCATCGAGACTAGAATAGGAAAGTTAAGAAGAAAGAAAGATAAAATGCAAATTATCAGACGGTAGTTGAAGCCACGAAATGAAAAAAAAACACTTGCAGTTTTAGCTAGAAAAGTAATGTGACAATTAATTTTGAACCATGGTAACAAATACAAAATGACAGTTTTTCTACAAGTGTAGAAAAAATTGCAGTAACGGAAATGTTTTCTCTTTTCTCTGGTGTTTCCTTAAGCGTCATTCCAGTCTGTTTAACAATTCAAAGCGTCCTTTCTGCGCGATTTATGCATGCAGATGATTAAAATTGTTAAAATGATTTCATCGTTCTTAGGTCTCTTAAATATAGTTGGGAAAATGATAGAGAAGGAGGACAAGGACGGTGACTACGACCTCTCGGACAAGTTTATTCCATTCCTGTACAGCCAAAAGAGCAAGTTTTGCAAAGGAAGTAAGTCAGACATCATTCTCCATTTTCCCCTCCCTTATTTAAACATACTTTTTATTTTATTTAAAGACAGCTACCATTATAAACTCATTACCAGTTCTCCGGAAATCTTCCAC